GTGCATCAGAGTCACTTGGTGCCTCACAGTCCGGCCCCAGGCTGCGCCCCGCGCACCTCAAATTCCTCTGGCTGATCCCCGTCCAGGCCGTGGTGATCATCTTCAAGCAGGTGACGATGTCGACGTGGTCCTTCCAGAGTTCCCGCAGGGTGATGGTGGTGCAATCAGTCACCTCAAGCATCGCCTGAAAAGCTCCTTGGTGTAGAGTTTCTTGAAATTGGCGATGACCTGCTGATCCATCGGCTGGAGCAGTGGCGTGGTGTTAGGCGGCAGGAACATGATGTTGATGAAGCTGAACTCCTCCAACAAGTCCACCTCAAGGCCTTTAGGATGAGCAGGAGCATTGTCCATCAGAAGCAAAGCCTTCAGCGGCAGGTCATTGTCCAGCAGGTACTGTTTGACAGCAGGGCCAAAGGCAAGATTGACCCAGTCCACAAACAGCACACGTGTGACCCAAGCCTTGCTGTTGGATCGCCACATGACACTCAGCCGCTCCTTGTCGACCTTGTGTTTCTTGAAGGCCCGTGGGTTCTCCGAGTGGTACACCAGCAGGGGCTTGATCTTCAGGTCGCCGCTTGCGTTGGCACAGAAGAGCAGGGTCAGACGGTCCTTCATGGGCTTGTGGCCAGGCAACTTGGCCTCCTCCTGAGTGATGAAAGTCCTTTTGGGCATCCTCTTCCAAAACAGCCCGGTCTCGTCGCAGTTGAAGACCTGCTGTGGAACGTAGCCCTCCGTCTTCACAACCTCCAGGAACTCCAAGGCAAAGTCTTCAGCCGCAGGAACATCAGAACTGGCAGCCTCTCCATGCCTGACCACGCTGTGGATTCCGGATCTTGCCTTGAACCGGTCAAACCAGCCTCTGCTTGCCTTGAAGACTTCTGGCTCGGCCGAGGTTCCTGGCTGTTCCCGGATGAGGTCTGCGTGCAAGGCCTTGGCCTTCTCACAAATCACGGCCTCAGTCACTGTGTCCCCTGCACGCTGCTTCTCTTCTATCCAGATGAGGAGCAACTTCGACCTCCTCCAGAACAGCTGGGCGGTTCTTCACGATCCTGGTGACTCCCTTGGCTGCATCAGTCGCAAGGATCGTCTCCTCATCTTCAGGATGGTCCCGATGGTCGATGGGTTCCTGCCGTACTCCCTGGCGAGGTCCGTCACACGCATTCCACCGTCGTGCTCCGGATGATCTCCTTCTTCATCTCCAGCGTCACCTTCTCCTTCTTCCTCTCGCCGGCCTCCGCAGCAGCAGCAGTCTTCTTGGGTCCCATGGCAGCACAGCTGTTACCGTTGTAAAACTCAGAAACAGAACACGAAAATCAGCAATTCAAACCCACAACCAAGTCCTTGAATTCCAAACACCCAACCCAAAATCCAAAAACCCCAAAAAAAGTTTTAAAAGTTTAACTTACGAAATGGCTGCAAATCACCAAAGTCTTCAAAATCCTCAAATGGCTGCAAAAAAAAATTTTGGGAAAGCTTTAAAAATCACCAAAGTCTTCAAAAACCTCAACTGTTCCCCCAGCCCCTCCCCAACTGTTGCAAACCCCTCCCCAACTGTTGCAAACCCCTCCTCAACTGTTCCCCCAGCCACCCAGCACACAGAAATTCAAAACCCAGAAACTTTTTCAAAAAAAACAACATGGCCCAATGGTTACAGAAAACCATAAAAATTCAAAAAAAAGCACACAAGCTCCCAGATTCTTGCAAACCCCTCCCCAGCTGTTCCCCCAGCCACCCAGCACACAGAAATTTAAAACCCAGAAACTTTTTCAAAAACAACAACATGGCCCAATGGTCACAAAAATCATAAAAATTCAAAAAAGCACACAAGCTCCCAGATTCTTGCAAACACCTCCCCAGCTGTTCCCCCATCCACCCAGCACACAGAAATTTAAAACCCAGAAACTTTTTCAAAAACAACAACATGGCCCAATGGTCACAAAAATCATAAAAATTCAAAAAAGCACACAAGCTCCCAGATTCTTGCAAACACCTCCCCAGCTGTTCCCCCATCCACCCAGCACACAGAAATTTAAAACCCAGAAACTTTTTCAAAAAACAACAACATGGCCCAATGGTCACAAAAAATCATAAAAATTCAAAAAAAGCACACTAGCTCCCAGATTCTTGCAAACACCTCCCCAGCTGTTCCCCAATCCACCAAGCAAACATAAATTCAAATTTTCAACGCCAGATTTTTTTTTAAAAAAAAAAATAAACATGGCCCAATGGTCACAGAAAATCATAAAAATGCAGAAAAAAACCACACAAGCTCCCAGATTCTTGCAAACCTCTCCCCAACACCAAGTCCTTGAATTCTAAACACCCCAACCCAAAATCCCAAAACCCAAAAAAGTTTTAAAAGTTCAACTTACCAAACAGCTGTAGAAGAAGTTTTGGAAAAGCTTCAAAATCCAGCAAACTCTTTAAAAAGCTCAGAAAGGCCACCACACCGCATGCAATGTGTTGCTCCTCGAGGTCAAGTCGCAACTGCACCTCTTCAAGCAATGCACCCTGGGTTTTAACGGTTTTACGAAAAAAGGAAACAAACTTGCAAGACGTTTTCGTCTTGCGAAGCAAGCCCATAGGGACATTCGTCTTGCGAAGCAACTCGAAAACGAAAAAACCTTTCGTCTTGCGAGTTTTTCGTTTTGCGAGGCGTTCGTCTTGCGGGGCACCACTGTAGTTGGGTCCCAGGTGAACTTGATATGAAACTGTGACTGGGTCATTTACATTCATTTACTAACTGCGTGTTTTGCTCTCAGCGAGCCAGCTTTATTGGGTGCAAACTAGGGAGAGAAGGCAGGAACACGCAACAGCTTTCTTAGTGGCCGCACTCTGAGCATTTTAGATGTTTGTACCATGCTGAAAGCTATTCCTGTAAGTCAGGGATCAGCAAACTTTTTCAGCAGGGGGCCGGTCCACTGTCCCTCAGACCTTGTGCAGGGCCGGACTATATTTTTTTGGGGGGGGGGGAATGAACGAATTCCTATGCCCCTATGTATGTACAGAACACCAGAAGGAAAAGAGATAGAATGAGAAAGTGAAACCTAGACTCTTTTTGGCCTTACTTTCATGACCTTGAAAGAAGAGATAACAGAACCAGTTTAAACCAGCTGTACTCAGCTTCTCTGAAGGAATAACCTAAACAGCAGGAACTTTCTGCTTGTTTCTTTCACACAGAGAAGCTTCCAGAACCCTCTTGAATTAATTAGAATAGGAAAGATCTCTACACATCAGATCAATACTTTCTGCACTAAGAAATGCAAACTGACAGGCTCTCCCTTCCCTCCCTGTCCTTACAACAGCCCTGTGACGTAGGTTGGGCTGAGAGATGATGACTGGCCCAAGGTCACCTGGACACAAAATAGGGAATCCAAGCCAGTGTCCTAGTCTCTGGTCTTCATCTGATACTCTACATCACACAGACTCTTATCTCCAGATTGCGGCCAAGGAGTTAATACAGCAATGTGGGTAAAGCAACTAATATGAGAAGTCTTATGTGAGGAGTATAATGAATTGACAACAGGGAGAGCAAAAAGTCTTTTCAGGTTGGTTCAGGGAAGCAGCAGTAATGATCTGAAACTGCCTGGAGGAACTGCTTCAGCCAAGCAATATTTTTGAATGCCTTAGTCCCCTTCTCCCCTGCAGAAGCAGCATCACTGGAGACAGCGAAACTCAGTGAGATAAAGCACTTTAAAACTGCCGCAACTGTTCCACCCTGCATGCTAGAGTAGCCCTCCGTCATGGCCAGCTGACCTACTTACTTGCTGTTTTCTGCTGATATTAGTAACCAAAGAATACCTTAAAAAAAAAAAAAATTAACATGATGGAAGTTTGGTCATAACATCCCATGGCTTCTGGTGATTGTGTTCATTTTTAACATCCAGCAGCTTGGAAAAGAGCAGAGGGTCTACGATGCATTATTAGAAATACAGCTTTGACATCAATAAAAGTTGCCCCATCACACACACACACACACACCTGGGACCTGTTGCATACAGAACATATGGTCCCTCACAGAGTTACAGATCTATCATCCATGGATTTTTAAGCTAAAATTTGGAGAGGGGGAAAATAGGCTTGGGCAAGACGTGGGCCGCTTCAGATGTCCTGTACAGCTGTGTTTATTATGATGATGATGATGATGATGATGATGATGATGATGAATTCAACTTATACACCACCCTATACCCAGAGGTCTCAGGGCAGTTCACAACAAGACCACAACATAAAATAGTCAAACCTAAAGCAATAACCCAATACCCCCCCCAAAAAAGCCACGCTCTAAAAGGGTGTTGGGTGTCAATCAGATCAACCAAAGGCCTGGTTAAAAAGGAACATTTTTGCCTGGCGCCTAAAGGTATATAATGAAGGCACCAGGCGAACTTCCCTGGGGAGAGCATTCCACAGACAGGGAGCCACTGCAGAGAAGGCCCGTTCTCGTGTTGCCACCCTCTGGACCTCTCAAGGAGGAGACACACAAAGGAGGGTCTCAGAAGATGATCTCAGGGGCCGGGTAGGTTCATATGGGAAGAGGCTCTCCTTAAGGTATTGTGGTCCTGAGCAGTCAAAAACTGACACTTTGAATTGGGCCCGGAAACTAATTGGTAGCTAGTGCAGTCTCATAGTTACGTCAACCTATCTAGCTGCCTCATCCTGAGTTACACCACTGGTGCATCCAGCCCAGTGTTATCTTCTCCCAAAGTTGGCTGCTTCCCAGGGACTCAAGCAAAGACCTTGCCCCCTCCATGCTACCCAATATCATTTTCAATTGGAGAAGTCAGAGGTTGAGACCTTATGCATGAAAAGTATATATGCTGCCACTGAACTGTAGCCTCTCTCACATATACAACATGGGTCACTGTGGATGGGAATATGGTTTTATGGCCAGTGAGTAGTAGTGGCTCAAAATAATAGGTGGCGTTCTCACTTCCTCTTGGAACCAACTGGCTGTTCCTTTGCATTGTTCCTGATTCCTCTGCAATAGGAAGGAATCTAAGGAAGGAGTCTATGGAACATCCTGTGCACCCTAAGCAAGAAATGAACCCCACTGGGTTCAATGGGGCACATTTGTTTATTTATTAAGAGTCTTTTTAGTTCATCCTTCATCATCTGATCCCAAGGTGGGGGTACAATATGGTTTAAATGGTTGAAACTTGTCTGATACAATTAAAAGAGTAGATAAATTAAGTGTGCATCCTAAAGATCTTACCTTTTTGAAGCTTTCTCAAACACTCTCTGGTTTTTGCTCTTATATATACATATCTATTTCAATGTCAATGCAGGTGGTGTTTCAGAGCCCTTTTAGCCTACTTGGACAGACTCCGGAAGGCTGCTCAACTTACACCTTTCCTAAGATAATGGGCCCCCTAAAGGTAAGTAGCTTAACTCATTGCTGGGGGTGGGGACACCCCAGTACCAACCAGTTGTTATACCTCTTCCCCCTTCTCCGCATTTCATCGTTAAGATTAATTTCCTTTTGTTCCTGTAGTCGTTCAGGAATAGGTTTTGAGACGTAAAACAACTTAGACACTTATGACACTAAAATCCTTTGACAAAAAAAAGGTACTATGGAAAAGGTACTATGATGCATATATGGTAGAAGTGTCTAAACATCAAACAATTTTGGGAAACAATATATAACGAAATGAAAAAAAATGTTCAGATATTCATTTAGGAAAACACCAGAAGGTTTTCTATTGGGAATAGTAACAGGAAGTCTAAAGGAAGAAGACAAGACATTATATTTATACGCAACAGTAGCCGCAAGGCTATTGATTGCGAAAAATTGGAAAAGTGGTATTATACCGACAAAAACAGAGTGGCTTGCCAAATTATTGGAGTATTACAATAAATCCAAAACAATGGGAGAAATGGGAAGGATCTCAAAAGAGAAGATAGACAGGGACTGGAAGGATCCTTGCAAAACCATATTGAAAAATCAGAATTCCTATTAGAATAAACAAGTTCCGTTTTAAATACTGAAATACTAAATAAGATGGATAACAATGTGTAATAGAAAAAGGAGCATGAAATTAGGTTAAAGGTGTGTGAAAGAAAGTAACAGAAGTGGAAAGAAATTGCAATTGAGTAGATTGGAAGTCTAAAACAAAGGTGGGGTGAGGGGTGGTGGATGGTGATGGGAAAAGGAATTATCTGCGGGATTGAGTGTAGGTATGTTTGAACATTTTTAAGGATTGTATGAAATGTATGTTTGTATGCTTGTATATTCGCAATATGTGTGTATTAATGCTGAATTGTTTTAATAATAAAAACTTAAATAATAAAAATTTAAAAAATCCTTTGACAAAATGTAGCCATGGTACTAGTTTGGTTTGCAGTTGAGTATACACCAGAAAAATGCACCCAAAACAATTGAGCAACTTCCCTACGAGGAAGATTTACCTCCTCACAATTTACCACCCCACATCTCCCAATGTTGCTTTCCCCTCAACTAATCTCCAGTACTGGAAGTGAGTCCAAATGGAGAAAAGTTCATGGCAGACGGGGAGATTCTTCAGCACTCTCACCAATGCACCTCTTAACCGGGACACCTCACCCCACTTTGATATGTAATTGGGGCAGCCTTGCTTCTAAAGGCACAATGTGCCATCATCAATATATAGTAGGGCTGGCCTTCCAGAAGCTTGGGACTCCAACTCCCATCAATCCCTGCCAGCAGGGTCAATGGTCAGAGATGATGGGAGCTGTAGTCCAGACCTGGTGTATATAGTTCTCCACCCTGGTGTATAGTTTGGGCCTTGCATTGTGATCCTATGTGTATTTCCTCAGAGGAAAATGCTGCTGTATTGAAGAAGCCTTACTCCCAGGTAGGGATGGAGGAGAAATTCAGTTCAGTTCACATTTAAAGGTGAACTTACCTCATTCTCATATTCTAAAACAAAATCTGAACCAAGACACAGCCATACTTGTACTTCTCTGAATTTTGCAAGGCAGTTCTCCAGCTGAGTAATGTGTACAGAAATCCATATATTAATGTGAAGTGTGCATATAAATGCATATATTAGTGATAATATCTTACCAAAATGTATTGTTTAGGAGGAAATGCATGCAAAAATGTGTTTATTGTGAGATAGTTGCACTAAAATGCTGATAATTTTCATGAGGGTTATTTTAACTAAAATTTGCAGATTGCTCTAGAAATGTAGAGAACTGAATTTAAGACTGGAAAAATGAGAAATTGAGAAAACCAAAATTGAAAGATTTGTGTATCCTTGCTCTCAGGTAAGTATGCATAGGATTGCAGCTCAATGTACACTTACCTGAGAGTAAGTCTCCTTGAACTCACTGGCACATGCATAGGATTGCCCTGTCTGCATTCTGCTATCACAATGGGTAACTATGAAGTGTTAACATTATTCTTCCTAGACTATCTTCAATGGCAGAAATCTCAATTTCAGCCATCTCACTTAGCTGTAATTTAAATATTTATGTCTGTAAATCGCACTAAAAACTGCTCTATTTTTATACAGCAGATTTTAAGGTTATTTTCTACATTCCTTGCACATTTTGCAGTAGCAGCATGGAACGGGGAATTCTATATTAAAGACATCTAATTATATGTATGAAAAGTAATTGAAAGCCTCCTCTCAGCCTGGCAATGCAAAATATTTGAACTCTGTCCCTAACAGTATGTTTCCCTTTCATCATCTTGATTATTCTTTTTCAAGCCTGCCAGATTGAATTTTCTGAGGTTCGTATAACAATCCCCACAGCTTGGGACTTGGGAAAGATCAGATTCATGATTCAGAGACTCACGAGCTCCCTTTTATTTGCATGCTCTGACAAGGGTAAGAAGATGAGTGATTGGTCCAAACTGAGTGCCCATGTGCTAGGCCACATGAGAATGTAGGAATCCATAAGAAAGGATTTTTGAATCAGAACAGAGAAGGGCCATGGTTCAGTTGTAGAGCATTTGCCTTGTATGCAAAGGTTCAAACCCCACCAACTCCAGACAGGACTAGGAGAGAATCATTGCCTGAAACCTTGGAGATCCAAGTCAAGGTAGACAATTCAAAGCTAGAAAGACTGATAATTGTCTTACTCAGTATTAAGCTAGCTTCCTATGATAGCCAGAGGAAGCTCACAAAGGGAGCGTGACGGAGAGACGCATAATTAAAGGTCCACCAGCTCTCTCCCAGCAGTCAGATTGCACGTTAAATAACATACTAGGAAGAGCAATGGGGATAAGTACACTAGTAGTGTCCCCTGACTGTCTGAAGTTAGAGAGAGGTGGATCTGACAGTTTTAGTTTCTCTCGGCTTCTCATTTTTCCAGCTTCACCTTCAGTTTGCCCCATTTCTGCATTAGTTTAGCCAATTAAAAAAGTGTGCATTTTTGCAAGTGTTGCAAAAGTATTGCAAAAGTATTTGCAAGTTATTGAATTTTTGCAAGTTATTTTTACAAATAAACACGTTTTTATGTGCACTTTCCCCCTAAGATGTGGTTTTGGATGCATTCTTTGGTTGGAGAATTGTGCTGCAACATTTGTAGAAGTGTGCGTTTTGAGCAATACAGTGGTACCTTGGTTCTCAAACTTAATCTGTTCCAGAAGTCCGTTCCGAAACCAAAGCGTTTCAAAAATAAGGTGCTCTTTCCCATAGAAAGTAATGCAAAATGGATTAATCAATTCCAGACTTTTAAAAACAACCCCTAAAACAGCATTTTAACATGGATTTTACTGTCTAACAAGATCATTGATCCATAAAATGAAAGCAATAGACAGTGTACTGCAGTCACACAATCAATCAGTAGCTGAACTGGGTTCCACACAGTCACAAAAACAAAAAAAAAGAGCCGCAAAAACTAAAATGCAAAATAAACAGCAAAAACAGACAGACCTCAGTGTAACACTCAAACCAGAAGTGTGGCACTCGAAACAGAAGTGCCATGGAAGTGTAACACTCAAAACGGAGCATGATCGGCTTCCGAAAAAAGTTCACAAACTGGAACACTTACTTCCAGGTTTGCAGTGTTTGGGTTCCAAGTTGTTTGAGTACCAAGGCATTTGAGAACCAAGGTACCACTTTATCGACATTTCAGTTTGTGTGTTGGTTCAGGGAGTGTGATTTAGGGAGTGTGATTCCCCCACCCTTTCTACCCCATGTGGAACCTCCCCCCACAAAGTAGAACCCTGGAAGATCCATATTCTAGGAGACTCTCTTCTCTGCTGTCTAACGTTTAGAGGGCAATGAGGCAGAGCCAGCATGTTCATACCTCCATCTTCCTTCCTGCGGTTCTAAACATATGCAATCCAATGTCTGAAGAGGGCAAGTATGTCTCTCGGAATGGATGCTCTCATTTTAGTGTCCACGGCTAAGAGCTGTCAAGGACCCTGCCCTCCATTAATTTGTCTAACTCTTGAAAAAGCTATCCGAGTTAATGTCAAGCACCTCATCGTGGCAATGGATCTTACACGTTAATTACGCCTCACATGAAGAAGCATTTCCTTTTGTTTATCCGAAAATTACTGCTAGTCAGCTTCAATGTTTGGCTTCTAGAGTCTGAGCAGAGAATAATTTATTCCTCTTCCCCGGTCGTAATTTCACAAACATTTATCGCATCTCCCACTCTTCCCTTCGTAATTGTTGCCTTAAATGAAAAAAGCCCCAAGTACTAACTTTTGTCTTCTTAGAGAAGGTGCTTCACGTTTTCCCTTGATTATTTAAGTTCCCTTTGCCTGCACTTTCTCCTACTCAACAATGTGGTTTTGAGGTGTGAGAGCCAGAACAGTACTTAACGTTTACCGTAAGTGTTGAAACACAGCTACATACATAAACCCAAGAGGAAGATGGATAACAGTCTCATACCAAATTGAACTACTGGATTTGTGTAGCTCAGGCCTGTCTTTACCTGGGGTGGAGAATCTAAGGCCTGGCGAGCAGGGGGACAAATGAGGACCTCCAAATTCTCCATCTGGCCCTCAGACCTCTCCCCAGCCTATAGCCCTTTGCTTCACACTCCAATTATTTTGCCTGCCAGGAAGCTGTCCCTGATTTCTGATAGCACCCCTTGCTTCTCTGGATAGATAGGAATGTGTGTGTCTAGAAAATAGCCTACCATATAAAGGTGAAACTTACATCTGTTGCTTTGCCCACTTAGGGCTCACCTTGGAGGCCAACAGTTTCCCAGAAAGACATGTGGCCCTCTGGCTGAAGTCCAGCCAAGCTGATTCCTTCCAGGTATTTTGGGTTACAACTTCCATCAACCCCGGCCAGCAGAAGCTGGCGAAGGCTGGTTGGCACTGTACTGCCATCAGTTCTCCGCCATTTCAGACAGGATTCTTTCTCGACCTTACCTGGAGATACCAGGGATCAGCCCCAGAAAACTATTATACTCATGCAAAATTATAATATTTCAAAATTTTGGATACCAGCTGCATTCACACACTGGCACGTTTAACACTGTGTACATAAGCAAAAATATGCTGAGCACGTGTGGTTGGGTCTTAATATTCAGGGTTCTCCAGGAACAGATTCTGATCTTAGTAGACCGAGAAGAATGTGTAGCTGTTTTATTGAAGAATCCAAATCTTTAGATTAGCAACCAAAGCAGGCCCATGCGAAGCTTATCTGAGGCCCAGGGCATGAGTCTTGTTAGAATAAAGTTATATACTCAAACAAAAAAAGCACCCGGTCCCTGGCAGGGTCCCCCAGCCAACTTAACCCTCCAAGCCCAGGGGAAGTGTACCCAGCTGCCTTCCGCCTCTTCATGGGCCTGATCCAGAGTCCTTTTTGCTCAGCCCATCTCAGGTCATCAGACTTTCTCAGGATAAGAAACATGGACAGCCGCTTGCCGTGGCAACATGTCCCTTAGTTTTCCAAAGCCATCAAATTACAGCATTGTTGTTATTGTTTTCCCCCTCAGAACAATTAATGAAAATTGGAATAAGAAAAGAATGTCACAAGAACATGGTACAGAATAGTATGGCGAATACTGCAGTAAGGCGTATTCTAGGTTTCTACATCTGGGCTGCTTCCAGATGGTTGGCTTTTAGTGCCACCGAAGCATTGTTGTTCTTTTGAAAGCTGCAAGCAGAATTGTAATGAACCTACCACACTATTAGGGAATACTGCGCCTTTTCTATAAGTACATTCCACTATGCTCTGTCCACACTAGGGAACATAACATAAAACATCACATCACATCATATCACATAAAACATAAAATACCTTTTGCATCTTAGTGCACATTCACTACAACCTTTAAGGTGGGTGGCATTGTTATAAAGTCTGACTCAGCAACTCTGGCTGTCCTGAGAATGCCAGATTTAATGATGCCACTTGTATTCACAGAGTCCACACTCTTCAAACAAAATTGGCTGAAGGTCTTGCCATAGATATAACGGAACTTTGCACCATCTGAATAGCATTTAGGCAGAGCGGCTTCTTTTATCTCTCTCTGTCTCTCCAGCAGCCAAGAACTGGCAGGAGACCTCCATCTCCTTTGTACAGCCTACTCCAAGATCATTTATTTTTTCTGTTCTTCAGGAGTCGGCAAGAGCCTCACTTGTGAGATAACTGGTTAAACACTCCAATCCAGATTCTGCGAGACAAGTCAGTTCACTGTGAGATTAAAGCTTTGTGGCATTTTTCATCATTGATATGGCACTTGTATTACAGGATGCTTTCCCATTTCTTGCTAATTATATCGTACCACAGTAGCTACATGCACATTGAAACATTTGCATATTGGCAAAATTACATAGGCCTATAAGATGGATAAATGGAGCAAGCACCACTTCTTAGCTATTGAATCTTCATTATTGTTTTCTTTCACTTAGGCAAATGAGATGCTCCTTTTTAACAAGAGGATCACTGCCAATGAAGCACGGACCCAAGGACTCGTGACGGAGGTTTTTGCTGACAGTACTTTTCAGCAAGAAGTTTGGACAAGGCTGAAAGCATATGCTAATCTTCCTAGAAATGTTCGTAATAACTACAGCACACACTATTCATAACAGTGCAACCCTATACATGTTTACTCAGGAGTAAATCTCATTGTGCTGAAGAGGGCTTACTTCCTAATATGTGTGTTTAGGAGTGCCTCCTTAATCATATTAAAACACTGAGCCAACTACCACTCAAAATGCCAACAAATGTTTGTTAGAATAGCTAAAAAAGATGTCATTACATAGGCTCACTAATGAGACAGAGAACCAAAAAAATGAACCGTTCACACATCAATTTTCATGTGTGATCTCAAATGACAATATGTTCTTTCTTTGTATCCTGCAAAAATCAGGCTGCATCCCAGTCATCCCTAACTATGAAGGCACAGTCTCTAGGCAACCCTTGGGAGTATTTCTGCGGCAGAAGCAGCTGCTGGAAAAGAACTTTCTTTGACAGCAGGATTTTAGTAGATGCTCTTCTCCTGGTCATAAGAAAAGGGGAAGAACTATAGCTCAGTGGGTAAAGCACAGGGTTTGCATACGGTAAGTCCCAGGTTCAATCCTTGAAACCTGCATATGGTAAGTCCCAGGTTCAGTCTCTTGCCTGAAACCCCACAGAGCCTCTGCCGGTCAGAGTCAATACTGTACTGGAAAGGCCAGTGCTCTGGTTCAGGTTGGCAGCTTCTTATGTTCCTTTGCGTAGGCAGTAGGGGAGGAATTTGGCTTGGTCCTCAATCTCATGCAAACCTACTTAATTTGTACTTTCTGAGACTATACCCCAAAATTCACACCTCTCTGGAATTTATGGTGAAATTCTCCACCAAAATAATTGTGTACAAAAATGAGTATGTAAGTGCAGGGAAATGCACATATTTTTGAAAATAGCATGCAAACCTGTATTCTAGCATAGAGCGCTCTGGTGTCATTGGGAGTTTCCCCGGCCAAGGGGAATTGCCACACTGGGGGAGGGTTTGCAGCTGAAGAGTGAAGAGTTAAACCTCTTCTCTCCGTGCATTGGCAAAAATCCACCCCATGCTCCACATTATTTTTTTCAAAATCCACTGATGATGCATGCTATGCATTTAACATAACCTGTAGCTAGGCATTCCTGATTAAGAATCGGCAGACAGGAAGCATTTGTAATGCTAATGAACATTGTAGCCATCAAAGGCTTTTGATTCCCCTTAGGAGTCTGTTTTAAGTCTTCTGTGTGAAAATGCCCTAAGTAGAAAAGGAGCCGGCAGCCAGGGCTCACTGAAAAGAGCAGGGGAAAGGGGGCAACCTGAAGTAGCTGTGGATATGGGAGCCGCCTTTAAAGAAACCCCAAGTAAGGCACCACAGAAGTCACATTTAAAGTAAGGTTACCAGATTTTTTTCAATGAACCCAGGGGCACTTTTCAACTTCAATGGATTTTGTATGGGGACTGGTTTGTACATCCGGGGACTGTCCCCAGGGATGCCTGGTAACCTTAATTTAAAGACACTAAGCCCAGGAGCTCATAGATATGTTGTTGTTGAGTTGGGTGTGTGTGTGAACCATTATAATATTTCACTTTGGTTGCCAAAATACCTGTTCTTGACTGTCTAACTTGTTATATAGTCCAGTTTGTGAATAAGGCGCTCTTGGGAGATGGGCCTGCAATAGAACATGGCTGTTTGCAGTGGTGGACTTTGGTCCTTTGGCACCCTGTGTTGAGCCCAAAATTTGGCACTCTCACTCCCGCTCCTCACACTGCCTTCCCAAAACCAGAGCCCTCCCTGCTCCTTCCCAAAGCTGGAAAAGCACTAACTAGGTGTTATGTACTGAGTTGAATAGGAGCCAAAAGGCAGCAGTCTGATTGGTCCTAGAATAATAGGATTCAGAATGCAGCAGGCTGATTGGTCCTAGAACAATAGGGTCCAGAATGCAGCAGTCTGATTGGTCCTAGAACAATAGGATTCAGAATGCAGCAGTCTGATTGGTCCTAGAACAATGCAGCAGTATGACTGGTGTACAGGAGCCACCATATCCAGCTTCAGGTGGAAGTGAATCCGCAACCTGATTGGCCTACAGGAGAATCCCAGAATTAGCCAATCACGTGCGGCCCATTGTGTAAATAATGTATATAAAGCAGATATTTTGGGGGAACTTTCATTCCTCACTACTATGAGCTGAATAAAGAGCATGAAATCCACACTCAACTCCGAGTATATTTCACTAGGCTTTGGGAAGGAGGGAGGACCCGAGGACCCTGTCAGAGGCTCACGCCTCCTTCCCAAAGGCTGGCGCCTTTGAGACAGTACCCTCTTGGCTCAGTGCCCAGTGCATGCACAAAGCTCACACAGCCCTATATCCTCCTCTGCTGTGCAGAGCTCTCCCCAGCAGTGTGAATTTTGCCAAGAAGACTCTCGCGTTTGTGCTCCAGCAGATGACACCCTCGAAAAACAAGCCACTGTGTTCTGTGGCCTCCGAAAGAGTGTTCAAAAGCAGCCCCACACAGCGGGCCTGAATTATGTCTGCTCATTCCTCGCTTATCTTCATTTGTTAAGTCAGAGCTCTGTGTCAGATTACTGGCTCTGTAAAACTCACAATCCTTCTATAACAAAAAGCATCTTAAACCTAATTAAAAGCTCAATTACCCACTGTGGTTCTCTGAAAGCCAGGGACCAACATGGTGATAATCCCTGAAACATCTTACTGCTGCTTTGCAAAAGCCCCGATTTGAATTTTAGGGCACGTTCACACCACTTGACAGCAGGCATTCAGTGCTTCAGATGCAGGCACCTTATTGAGGTGCTGCACATACAAGCAACACCATTCTCACGTTGTCCCTTTCCCTTCACAATTTACAATCTGCTTTGCCTTGAAAATGTATTTATCAACACATTCAAATCAGGGCGTTGGGGAATTAGCAATAGAGTGCTGTTCTAGTGCATACCAGTAGTAGCCAGTGGGCTAGAGTGGCTTTGCTCAACTGGCTTCCCAACATAGAGGTCACTGCCAGTAACCGAGAGGAGTGGAGAAGTGGGGAGGCTGTCGCAGTGCCAGGGCAGCAGCAGGGGCCTTGGATTGGCTCCACTGCTGTGCCTGCGCTGTGCGGACCTCCCTGCCACCTCGTCCCTCTTGGTTACTGGCAGCAACCGCTGTGTTGGGAAGCCAGCTAAACAACATTGGTCCGCCCTGCTCTGTGGGTGGCGCTGTGGATTAAACCACACAGCCTAGGACTTGCCGATCTGAAGGTTGGCGGATCGAATCCCCGCAACGGCGTGAGCTCCCATTGCTTGGTCCCTGCTCCTGCCATCCTAGCAGTTCGAAAGCACGTCAAAGTGCACGTAGATAAATAGGTACCGCTCTGGCGGGAAGGTAAACAGTGTTTCCGTACGCTGCTCTGGTTCGTCAGAAGCAGCTTAGTCATGCTGGCCACATGACCCAGAAGCTGTACGCCAGCTCCCTCGGCCAGTAAAGCGAGATGAGCGCCACAACCCCAGAGTCGGTCACGACTGGACCTAATGGTCAGGGGTCCCTTTACCTTTAAAAGAGAGCCAGTGTGGTGTAGTGGTTAAGAGCGATAGACTTGTAATCTGGTGAACCGGGTTCAGGTCTCCGCTCCTCCACATTCAGCTGCTGGGTGACCTTGGGCCAGTCACACTTCTCTGAAGTCTCTCAGCCCCACTCACCTCACAGAGTGTTTGTTGTGGGGGAGGAAGGGAAAGGAGAATGTTAGCCGCTTTGAGACTCCTTCGGGTAGTGATAAAGCGGGATATCAAATCCAAACTCTTCTTCTCCTCTTCTTCTGCCAGACACTACCAGTGTGCACACGTGAATGTGAGAGTGTGAGTGACCACACTCACTTTGGGCCATATCCACAGCTGACAAGCAGCCCACGGAGGACTGGCCAAGGATCAATCTGTCCCCTGAGGGGGAGGGGGAGCATAGCCACCCTGAACATGTTGAATGATACCACTGTCACCTAAAAATAATAATAATAGAACACTACATCCAATATGCTTTACCAAAATGTGTCGCATGTCTGAAGCAAGGAGGCCCCTGTCCTCATGGTTGTTGGGATGTGATTAGATGCCAGGAGATGATATATTTATTAGACATCATCCTATCTTCCTCATGTTTGTGAGTTCAGCAGAGTGCCATCCCTTTGCAACTTAAAAGGGAAGCTTAGATAGGATAGTTTTAGTCTTTTTAGTTGATAAGTAATCCAGGATGCTTTAAGGCAGACTAGATTTTCCTGGCATTGCCCCCTTTTGCCCCTCCCGCTTAAAACAATAATCACACACGAAACAGTCTTGTAAAAGGCAAAAATAACATTTGCTCACTCAGTATGCTTCTTGTAGAGTAACTGATAACAGCAGCTTTGTTCGGGCAGGCTTAGAACGGTAATTCAGTTACTAAGACATAAGTGTAGCTTAAAAATACAGGTGTTTTCACACTGGTGAAAATGTTGGAGAAAAGTGGAGAGTGCCCTGCCAGGAAGAAGGATATATATATATATATATATATATATATATATATATATATATATACACACACACACACACTGTGTATATCTATATCTATATCTATATCTATATCTATATCTATCTATCTATACACACACACACACACTATATATATACACACACACACACACACACACACACACACACACACACACACATCTATACTGTATGCATACATACACACACACCGTATTTTTCGCTCTATAGGACGCACTTTCCCCCTCCAAAAATGAAGGGGAAATGTGTGTGCGTCCTATGGAGCGAATGCAGGCTTTCGCTGAAGCCTGGAGAGTGAGAGGGGTCGGTGCGCACCGACCCCTCTCGCTCTCCAGGCTTCAGGAAGCTATCCGCAAGCCTGTTCCCGTCGGGCTCCCAAGGCTTGCGGATAGCAGCCCAAAGCCCAGGGAGCACAGCGCTGCACACCCCGGGCTTGGGGCAGCTATGCGCAAGCCTTCGGAGCCCGGCAGGAGTTCCCGCCAGACTCCCAAGGCTTGCGGATAGCAGCCTGCAGCCCAAAGCCAAAACAGCGAGACGAGGCGCTGCGCAGCCCTCAGTCTCGCTGTTCTAGCTTCAGGATGGCTGCGCAAAGCCTCCGCAGGGCAGCGGGGTGCCTTCACCCCACGGCCCTGCGGAGGTTACAAAGGATGTCCCCGAAACCTCAAGCCTTTGGAGTGCAGCTTCGCTCCAAAGGCTTCAGGGATCTTTGAG